GGGTTTAGGGTTTAGGGGTTAGGCATGTTTTCTGATTTCTGTCGGTTTCTGGGGTTTGAGTTTAGGCTTTGGGTCAAGTTTAGGCCGAACACTTTCATCGGGTTGCATAGCACAAGCAAGAGTTTACGAGGTGTAGGATTCTAGGCAGTTCTGGAAAGACTACTGTTTTCATCTCCGGAAATGAAAATCCCGGAAGCCCTAAACCCCAAACTCCAAATCCTAAACCCTAAACTCTAAACCCTAAACCCTAAACTCTAAACCCTAAGCCCTAAACCCTAAACCCCAAGGTTTCCCTTACGGTTTGTGGATCTTAGGCACGAATTCAACGAGGTTCAAGTCCAAAAAAGGCTTCAGACCGGCCATGGGGCTGCTAAGACAGGAGCCGAAATAGAAAATCAACACTCCTTTTCTTTGGGGTTCCTTACTATAGCCATAGTATAATTTAACTCCTTTTTAGGATTTCCTTATTATGGTCATAGTATAATGTCACTCTTTTGTAGGGGGGTTTTGGAGTCTCTGGGAAACCAAGGACTTCAGCTTCACCGTGCCAGTTGATCTTCAGCTGCTGGTGCTGCCCTTCTGCAGCACCCGGATCGAAGAGGTGGAAGAGCTCGTGGATCTCGTCGCCCACGGCCAAGTTGAGGAGGTAGAGGAAGTCCTACAGAGGCCGCAGGACCCCAACCTCAAGCCCGGCACGTACTTTGAGAGGCCCATCTGGTTTGCCGCCGTCTCTGACAAAGTGGACGTGCTGCGCTTGTTGCTGGAGGCCGGCGCTGAAGTGGGACCACGGGACAGGCCGCTGCTGGCAGCAGCCGAAGTTGGTCGGGTCGAAGTCGTGAGGGTGCTGCTGGAAGCGGGTGCCCGGCACGAAGCCGAAGACCCCGATGACAATGAGGACACCGGTTTTTCGAATTTTTCCACCCTAGAGTAGATAGTTCCTATACAGCTATACCAGAATGTGCCCTTACAGTTCCTATGAAGCTATACCAGGCCTTGTGTGCGGCTTCGGAGCATGGCCATCTGGAAGTCGTCCGCCTGCTCCTGGGGGCTGGCTTTGACAAGCATATTCCGAACCGCTCTGGCAAAACACCCTCCGAGTTGGCTGCCAAGAGAGGCCACGGCGAGATCGTACGGTTGCTGCTGGAATGTGGCTGATATCGCGGGGGAAAGCAGTTTGGCATCAAGCACTCAAGAGCCTGCTCTTTGCATCTCGTGCCGTTCCGATGACCATGAAGATCGTTGCTGCAGCTGCCGGCGCCATGGCGCTTGCAGGACTCTTTGCCTCGCCGGCAAGGGCGGCCTGGGGCTGGTTCATGGAGGTGCCGACCGGTCTCGGCTTCACTTGTAGTGAGGGCACCTCTCTTGGAGGACTCCAACTTTACTTGCACGGTCGTGCCCGATGGAGGCATGAGCTGCGATGTCACTTCCACGAACGTCGTCTGCTCCATTGGAGGCGGTGCCCAGAACTTCGTGCCGGACTCGGCCAGTCCGATGTGTGCCCAGGTCAACACGAGCAGCCATTACAACAACGCCAGCCTGTCCTGGAGCACGGTCCCGACCTGCGGCAGAACCACCAGCACCACCGCCGGTGTGTCGACGTCGGATGCAAGCATGGAGGTGGTCGGATTTGCTGCGGCGGCCCTGGCAACGGCGCAGCTGCTCTAAGAGATTCTGAGAGCAAGGGAGTGCATTTTCATGGCAATTTGTAGCCACAGGTAGTTTCTGCGGGTATTTTCCACAGACATTTTCTGGCAGAGAGTGTGGACACGAAGCGGCCTGCAGCGTCTGTCTGAACATGGGTGGGCATCAGAGGGGTCCTGGACACACTATGGACATCTCTTGCCCGCGACCTTTGGAAGCAATGTATTTGAGTACATGGCTCGGTGTGCTGCACCATACCCACATGCCACGCCCAAATGAAAGGAGTGCCTCGTTCTGCTGCGCACGGTCCACAGCTGCTGTAGCAACGCAAAAAGGTGGCCGGAAGGTTTTGGCTTCTGCCGGGGTCTCTGCTGTTCTTCTATGCCTGGTCTTATGGTTACTTACGATGGCCAGCCTCAGCATGTGGCATTCTCATTTGTCTTTGGGGGGCGGCCCGGACAGGCAGCATCCAGTCCCCTAAACCCTAAACCCAGTCTTGGGTGTATAAACGGCTGAAAGTTCCGAATGCCGCTTTGTGAGGGAGGTCTTTACTTCATCTTCCTGGCCACCAATATCGGTTTAGGGTTTAGGGTTAATTAGCATCTTGCTGCACCAAGTACGCATTCGGTACTTTCCGCCCGCTCGTTCTACGCTTGATCTGCCACGCGATCACTGTTGCCCCCAAAAGTTAGGGTCCCGCACTTCGAGAACCCTAAGCCGAAAGCCTAAGCCGTAAACTAGGACATTTTCTCGTGGGTAGCTACCGTTATAGGACTGTCATAGAAGGTCTATATACCCTAAATTCCCCACCTGTAGTTTCCTTTAACCTAACACCCCAATCTTGATCCTGAAGCCCCTAAACCCTAAACCCTAAACCCTAAAGCCCCTAAACCCTAAACCGTAAACACTGAAGCCCCTAAACCCTAAACCTTGAAGCCCCTAAACCCTAAACCCTAAAGCCCCTAAACCCTAAACCGTAAACCTTGAAGCCCCTAAACCCTAAACCTTGAAGCCCCTAACACCCTAAACCCTAAAGCCCCTAAACCCCTAACCGTAAACCCTGAAGCCCCTAAACCCTAAACCCTAAAGCCCCTAAACCCTAAACCGTAAACCCTGAAGCCCCTAGACCCTAAACCTTGAAGCCCCTAAACCCTAAACCCTAAAGCCCCTAAACCCTAAACTGTAAACCCTGAAGCCCCTAAACCCTAAACCTTGAAGCCCTAAACCCTAAAGCCCCTAAACCCTAAACCGTAAACCCTGAAGCCCCTAAACCCTAAACCTTGAAGCCCCTAAACCCTAAACCCTAAAGCCCCTAAACCCTAAACCCTAAACCGTAACACCCCAATCCCGATCCCCTAACTCGCGGCTCTCCCCTCTGAGCCGACTCGCATTCTGCAGACGCCTTTGCCGAGCGGATCCTCGTTGCATGACGGCTGATGATATACATCCTGCATTACCTTTTAGGGTTTAGGGTTTTAGGGTTTAGGGTTTAGGGTTAAGGACCCTAAACTATGGGAGTTATGGGTATGTTCCTTATTATGGGTCATGCAGGATCTCTATACCATCCACCGTAGGACCCGTCAAGCTTGAGAAACCCGCATCTGGCGCCCAGGCGCAGAACGTGATCCAGAAGCTGCGAGACCTCGCAGCAAAGGAAGGCTGCAATGTGCTCTGCACCATCCACCAGCCTCCCGACAGAAGAGCTGCATTGTGGGGGGTGGAAGGGGGAGGAGGGGGTCAGGTTTCAGGGGGTTTGGGGGTTTACGGTCTAGGGCTGTAGGGTCTAGAGCCTCAGGGGTCCCAAGGGTGCAAGGTTGATTCTAGGGCATGGGATAAACGATGTGTTTTGGGCCAGGTGATGCGGATAACCGCAGAAGTATGCAGACGCATATACTAAGTCAACAGCTTTGCATTGAGAGCCTAGGGAGCAACACCCCTAAAACAAAACTGGCTGCAGAACCTTGCGATACCTGCACCTTCAAGTCTGAAGCCCGCAAGCCGTCAAATAGAAACAGAAGCCTAAGTTATTGCCCAACATTTTTCCGTAGAGTTCCTTGTTATAATTGTACTTTGAATGAGCCCAAAACCCCATTCTAAGTATGAAGGGGCCGAAAAATTATGTAAATAGTACTCCCTTACACAGTAGCACCTAAATAGAACTATAGTAGAAGATACACCGAAAACTCCATTCTAGTTACACAACTCTTAAACGAGCCTTTACAGGAACCTTCGAACGAACCCTACATTACACCCAGGCCGTCCTCGGAAGTGTTCCACCTGTTTAACAAGGCCAGCATTCCGTGCCAGAGGGAAGGGGTTTAGCGTTTAGGGGTCTAGATAGGTAGTTCTCTAAGATAGGGTCCCTTTTCAGGATCTTGTATAAGGGTGCCGCACTATATTGGGGACCCAAAAAGGGGACCCTGCTTTAGAGCACTACCCAGATAGTAGAGTGTGGAAAAGTTGTGTGGGTTTGTGGCTGTGACTGTTTTGAGTTTAGGCTGCCAATGTCGTGGTGTTTCGACGCCGCGAGTGTAGAGTTCAGCGTTCTTAGGGTTTAGGGTTTTAGGGTTTTAGGGTTTAGGGTTTAGGGTTTTAGGGTTTAGGGTTTAGGGTTTAGGGTTTCTTAGTTCCATGATGTCCTGAAGGATGTGGGAGCTTGCCGCGAGCTTTTGCCGGCTGCGACGACCCTTGAAAACCTTGAGCCGACAAGCCTTGTGCCCCAAGTTCAAAATCCGGAATCCTAAAGCTACATCGGTAGTTCTCTAAATTAGGGTCCCTTTTTGGGTCCTTGATATAATACGGCACCTAATATTTAGGGTACCCCAAAAAGGGACCCTAATTTTGAGAACCACCCAGATGCTCGACCTACTGACGCCAGGTCATGCTGCTCCACACAGGCACGAGCCTTTGCAAGTCTCTGCTTGCGAACTATCTCGACTAAAATGCTAGTATAAAAACCCTAAACCCAAAACCGTTGACTGCACCTGAGAGCTTTGACAGCCATGAGTGGATAACATTTGTGGCTTTGTTTACACACCTTCTTTGATGAGGATTCCTCTGACTTCGGCTGGTGGAAAAAGGTGTTCAAAAAAAAACCGTTATAGACGATTTACCCAATTTTTTTACAGAAAACAACATAATACGGGCCTGTGTTTTGTGGGTTCAGACACATGTCTACGACTAATGCTCTGCGTACAACATCGACAGAAAACAACCCCCCTCAACTCTTGCTCCCAAGCCCCACACCGCCTCAAGGGTTTGGGATGTCCGAGACCGTGTCTCGGGGTATAACTTCGCCGCAGTAGCCGTTTTGGGTTCCATCATGTAGCTTTGGAGTAGGGTTTAGGGTTTAGGGGTTTTATGGTTTCGGGGTTTTGGGGGTTTAGGGGTTTGGGGGTTTAGGGGTTTAGGGTCTAGGGGTTGAGGGGTTCAGGGGTTTAGGGTTTAGGGGTTTAGGGTATAAAGTCTAGTCCAAGTAGAGAGGCTTGTTTCGCTAGCCCAAGCCCCAAGGCCCCATTTGAGTAGCTCTCGGTCCCTTTCTGGGTCCCCAACATCGTACGGCACCCTTATAAAAGGGACCCCCCCCCCCCCAAAAA